TTAAAGGCTCTGCCGACTGAGAAGCAGAACCCCGGCACAATCACCACTGACTTTGAAAGTTGCCAATGTGAAAGAGTATTCTTAGCATAGACATCCGTCTCATAATAAAAGGAGAAACCAGCCATGAGGCCTGAATGTGCATGGCCATGGTAGGTCTCATTCCTCTCAGTGGATGTTTTGAGATGTTCTAGCAAGACCCTGATACCTTTGTTTGCTGTAAAGTGATGCTACTTTCTGAACTCCTATAGTCTTATCATACGTAATCTTGACAGGAAACCTTTTGGAAAAACCTCAAGATCTCATTCAGGCCTCTTAGGAAAACATTTAATACAGTAACTTCAAAACTCACTAAACTCATTAAGACAGTTAAGACAGTAACTTCAAAACTCACTAAAATAGTGTAAATGACTATTACAGAAACAATGAAATGGGAAATAGTAATAATAACTTATAAAAACAATGAAAGGAAAATAGTATAAATGACTATTATAAAAAACAATGAAAGGGACTTTCTCTTAGAGAAGCCCACACCCAGGTTCTGGAGTCTTTACTTCTGGGCACCTATCATTTTTTTTTACCTTTTTAAAAACTATATTAAATTATCGTTTATTTATCCACAAATCTGATTAGTCCTTATATTCTCCTCTATGCCAAAACCACAAATTTCAGTTAGAACAGAGCTGAGGTCCCTAAAAGCCTATGGGAATCCTCCAGCTGCTGAGGGTGGCAGTGTTGAGCTATGCCTCCTCCATTCCACTGACCCTGACATTAAAATTTTATTTGTGATGCTAAAATCATACTTATGGGAATGAAAAGCAACCAATAAATATACTACAGCTGGGCTGTGGTGGTAAACGCCTTTAATCCCTGCACTGAGGCAGAGGCAGGATGACCCCTATGAGTTTGAGGTCAGCCTGGTCTACAGACTCAGTTCTGAGACAGCCAGAACAACACAGAGAAATCTGGTGTTTTCTTGTTTTTTTTTTGTTTGTTTTTTAAATGTGTCTATGTGTGTACACTGTGTATGCTATATATATATATATATATATATATATATATATATATATATAATATTTTACATATATTCTAAATGAAGTTAACTGGTATGACTAAAATCTTGATCTAAAGCCACATGTTCATATCTTCTCATGAATTATGCTCCAAGCTGTAGTAGTTACCAGAGTTACTAAAACAATGAGTCAAAATGTGTGGGAGTGGGGTGGAGTTGGGGGAAAATAAAAGTATTTCACTTACAATACATTATTGTACCTAATAATCTGCATGTAAGTGATTGTATTACTTGTAAATAGTATTTACTTTTCATAACAGAGTAAGATTTTGACTAATAATGATAGAGCAAGACAGATAAGGAATCAAAGACCCAATAAAATATAGATACATGATTCTTAAACACTACCCATAAAGATAATGAATGCTATATCTCATGCATCCAGCACTGAAATGTAATAAAGAACTATAATATAATGCAAACAGCAAAATATCACATGGGATATGGTCAGTGTAAAACTTCACATACAATTTTCCAGCATGTAATCAAATACTACTTCATACTGAACTATATGTGTAGATGTGTTGTGCTTCTGTAACTTTACTCTTGTTGATTGAATAAACATTCCCATTTCTCAAAGTCCAGCTCAGGTACCATCTTCTATACTTTTTCCAGAATCCCTGAATTAACTAATTCTTAGATGTTTTATTTTTGTTTGACTGTTGTCGTTTTTGTTATTTCAGGTTAATTGTTAATCTTTAAATTTAAAATATTTGAGAGTCAATGTTTTCTTAATGTTATGTATATATCACATTATTTTTACTAAGTACTATAAAATTTTCTTTCTTTTTTTGAGTGTGTTATATATGTAGTTCAGTATCATTGAGCTAGCTATGTAGTCAAAGCTGGTCTTGAACTCCTGAACCTCCTACCACTTTCTTCTGAGCACTATGATTACACTCTGCACTGAACTAAAAACATACACTTTTGATAAAATATGGCTATGTGTTATACTTTGTGGCAACTGGCTGTCCAACAAGGAATATAAAACTCTCATTGGAGGCAGTATCTCTTCATTTGTATAATTTTATACAATAATTTTATAGGTATGGAAGTCAAATGCTTGGTTTTCTCCAGACATACTTAAAATCCTAAATACAAATTCAAGACACTTGGTTCCAAATCCTATGAAAAAGTGTACATTCAATTAAATGAATTTCTAATTCAACACATTAGATTTCATTAGATTTTACTAATAAGAATGATGTGTACATCTTTTAAAATGCCTAAATTATACTACTTACTAACACAAAGAAAATTATTTCTTTGAATTTTTAATACACAATAATATCAACTGATTCTTGTGTTAGCCAAAGTTTGATCACTATGACAAAATAGCTGATACAACCTTTTTCAAAGAGGAAAAAAATTACTTTGAACCAGTTCCAAATATTAACCCACCATAACAGAGATGGTGAGATGAACAAGAGCAATTATGTTAGGCTAGTCAGGAAACAAGAAAAACAAAGCCTGCCCTAGCTGGATTCCCTTTATTATCTTCCCTCTAGCTAGGTTCACAGCCCACTGGGAAGCCACATATACTAAATTCAAGGCAGGTCTTCCCCTCAGAGCTAACCTTCTGGAAATTGCCCAGAGACACACAAAAGTGACTTTATAAATCACCCAGATATATCTCAACTCCAATTGAATTGAGCAGATTCACAATTCTATAAGATGATATACATAAACATAAAACAATAGTACATTCCCCTTTTAAAAGGACCATCAGATGCATGTGACTACTGAAAATCCTTAAGACTAGTAGACTAGAACAGACACTAAGGGAGAGGACTGTGTGATGAAAGTTGCTCCTTTTATTAATGAATTGCAATGATAGTCAAAATAATACGAGGAATGCATCCTATTGTTTCTATTGAAATGAAATTCTACTTTACATAATGCTTTAAAAAGACTCATGACAGATACAAACAAAGAATGACTATGGTCTGCACATCTATAGCCTCCCTTATAAAAGTGAGATAAAATAACATGGATCTACATTCTTTAAAATTTCCATAGATAAACATTTGAATATTCTTGCTACAGTAAAAGATTCTTAAGATCATGAAGAAGAAAAGCATAAGGACTACATAAAAAGGAATTAATTATCTTTGTTTTTAACAGAAAATATTAAAGGTGAATGTTTCTACGTCTGTGATCATTAAATCTAGTAATATGTGCCTTAAAATACTGACAAAATATTATGAATTTAATATAACAGTTATTTTTATAATTTTATTCTATTACTTTCTATGAGGATTAGGCCATATTTTTGAACTTCATATTGATTCCATTTTTTTTCATTAAATGATCACTTTATGTAAGCTTACAAGAAACTTACAGTCAGACAATTTATTCCCTCAATAAGTAAATTTTCAATAGCTAAGGAGCTCATAACAGTTATATAAATAATTTGAAAAGCTACTAAAGTTCATTAACATTATCTTAGGCAACCAAGATACCTGCTGACCTTTTTGATGACGCGTTCCAAGTCTAAGGCAAACCAACATGGTGATCCTATTTTTACTCTTACTGACTGATGAGCAAGTCTCCCAGCAGGCAGCACACTCATAACCAGCCTTAAGGCACTGATTACATGAAAAAGATTAAAAAATTTCAAAAGCAAAAAAAAATTAAATAGTTTTTACCTGCTGCTAATAGAAATATTAATTTAATAACTATTTGGTTTCTTCTTCATAAAAGTAGTATTTGTTTGGCAGTATCAGTGTAGAAGTTACACTGCATGCTGTCTTTGGAGACAAAGGGGAATTATATGCAAGGATTGATATTAATCTTGATTCAAACCAAATGATTTCTTTTATACATCCTGACAGTTACTTGTCATGTCAGTGGACTTTAATGATAAGGAAGTAAGGTCCCACACTATTTCATCATATTTTCTGAATACATTCAACTCCATCATCCTCTCATTCTAAACCCATTTAAGAGTTTGAAAAAAATCCAATGGTATTTTTATATATAATAAAACTGAATTAGAAATTGAATTAATTTTCATAAAATTAGAAGTAATTAATGTAAACATTGTAATATACCATGTTAGTCCCAAGTTTGTCACATTTAATGGGGGGCAAATTCAGAGAATTCCTGTAAATACAGGAAGTGTGATTCTTTAAGATGTTAAAGCTTTACTGATGGCCATGAGAGAAAACCACCTGGAGAATTATAGTAAAAGGTTTCCTAAACAAACCAGACTCTATCTATTTCTCCAAAATCTATTAAAGACTTTAATCTCTATCAACCTATGGATATATGTTACACATGATAATTTGCTAAGTGCAGGTAAAGAAACATTTTTGCATTCTAATTATCATTATAATCTCTTGTGCAAATTTGCTAGTTATTTTTTATTTAACCATTTCTTGTCGGGGTCCAGGCAGGCAGCACTGGTTGACCTCAAAGCTGTGACTTTCCTGATCTACATCCCAAGTGCTGGGAATATAACAGGGGCAGAGAACCACGGAGCTCAGAGGGACCACAGAGCTTAGATGAGCAAATGGTGAGGGTACATGGGAGCCACGCAGCTTGTGGTGAGCCATGTAAGTGTACAGGAGAGCCAAAGAACTCAGGTGATCCATGTAAGTGTACTGGGGAGCCACGGAACTCAGGTGAGCCACAGAGCTCAGGGGAGCCACGGAACTCAGGTGAGCCATGGAGCTCGGATGAGCCACAGAACTCAGGGAGCCATGGTCAGGTGAGCCATGATGGTCACATCCATCCTGTTTTGTTTTTCTTATCAAGAAAAACGTTATGTCTTTATCCTTTCCTTTTAAGCAAAGGGCTACCTTAAAAGAATGTAGGGATAGTAAAGAAAAAGCAGTTTGGAAATACAGATGAGACAAAGGGCCAGAGAAAACATGTTCCAATAACCCTTCCTGAAGGCAGTAGCGTTCAGTTAGTCCATTGTGTTTACCTGTCTCTGTCTGGAGAGTAATGGTCATCCATGACCCGGTGTCTGTCCATCCGGCTAATTGTATTGTAATGGCCAGGAGCACGTGTCCCTCGAAGCCCCTGTTCCACATTCCTACTAAGACAACAAAATCGTTAAATATCTGACTAATTTATAGCATATCCTCCACATAAAATAATAAAATCAATTTTTCTGGTTTAATAGTATCTTTGATTGAATAAATTTCACTTGGAAATTAACAGTTAATTGAGGATCTGGCTGCTCTTAGAGATATAAAAAGGGCCCATTTAGAGAAGATCCTTCAGAAGATAAACAATATCACACCTTACTGATGGGCAACACCCTGCTTGCTATAATTAATGATCAGTGATATAATATACACCAGGGAAAAAGACTTATGAGAGGATAGGTTCAATGTTACACATGGTTTTTAGCATGAGCCCCAGGAATGGAGGGAGAGATGCCTTATGCATGTTGAATCTGAGTTCTAATCTCAGAAAAACAACTATCAGTACCTATCCAATTGTAACCGTGCTCTCTGGCAGTACTCTAGTCTAATCTACCACCTTGATGATTTACTAAATTAAAGCTATGTAACTATTATCTGACCTAAATCCTACCCTCACCTACTCTGAATACAGTAGTCCTTTGAAACCATAGAATGAAACCTAAAACTTCATTCTAGGTTATGGACTAGGTTTCTGTCCTTTGCAAGCCATCTTTTTCATTAGTTTGCAGTGTCACGCTTGTATGTGGAAGGATGTAAAAGTACATAGGCAAATCTGATATGCACATCTTGTCATATTGAACATCTTGTCAATATCAATTAATTTATACCTTTGTATATAACACATTTTCTTCTATTTAGCATCTCCTGAGCTATCTATCATGAATAATTATATATATTATTGTCCATGGCTTATAATCCATGTAGCTCTTTAGTACTTAGTTGAGTTGATCAGACATTCCCACTATTATAAAACCTAGAGCAACAGATTGGTGTGACCATTTTTCCTACTACTATGCATGATGTTTAGTTTTTCCAAAGATTTTTAAAAATATGTTTAAAATTACCAATTACTATATAATCATTTGGTTCTATATGGATCTGCTTAATATTCACATGCAATTTAAAGCTAAATTTTCTTAGCCATTTTGAACTCTTAGGTCAAATAACACACAGATCATGCAAAGTAACAAATTAACCCATATCACATCTTAGTCCTACTGCAATGGCATTTTATGTTTCTTTAAAAGAATATTTTAATGAATAATTTATTTCAGAGGTTATTAGGGTAATTTGTGTAAATTTCACTGTAACCACCATGCCATAAGCAAATGTACTATCTTACCTCTGTGGAGGAGGGACACTCGGTGACCATGACCTAGTCCTTCCTATCACATCTACTCGATGAGGAGACCCTGATGGTGAACAATGGTTTGAGGACATAACTTGTTCTGGCACTGACAAGGTGGAGCTTTGAAGGTCTCGACCATTGTGTCGATAATCTGAGGGCAGAAAATAAAATAATAATTATCTACACCATGAGGTGCAATACTGTTCACATGATAAATGTAAAGTATAGCAAATACAGTATACAGTATAACATGTTTGAAAAATTATAAGCACAACATGAAAATGGAAGGACATTTGGTACTTAGATAGTTACTATGTTCACTGTATCTGGGTATGGTAAAATTTTAAGCTCTTTTAAAAAACAGAACCAAGATTGTTCTAAAAATATTTTGTCTCTAGAAACTTAAATGTTTCTTAACTATTGTTACTGTTAGAAGTTTCAAGGTAGTAAGACACTTCATAGTTGGTACTTACACTTTAAATAAGGTAAACCACACTAAGCAACCCTCAATGCCACATTCCTTGAACTATTTGGCAGAGCTAAGATACCATAGTAGTGAAAACAAAACTAACAGAGTAAAAGAACACCACAGTGACTCAACAGCCTTACAGAGTTAATACTAGGAAGCACAGACACCTGCACATCAGAAAAGCAGCAGCACGGTGTGAGGAGGCCTCAGGAAAGGAAAGAGGAAAAGGCCACTTGCCTGAAGCTGTACATATGTGAAGTATGTATGTAATGAAGAAGCAGGAAGCTGTACATATGAATATATATGTAATGGAGAAGCATGAGTAAGGGCCGAACAGGGAAGGTGATCTTGCTGCTAGCGTGGTCATCTTCCTCGTGTTCATTGCAGCTGTTATCTGATGGGCACTTCCTAAAATGCATCGCTACAATGTGCAATTCCTGAATTACTTAGAGACTCTGAGGGTAGCTCAGGCGCAGCACGTGTGCTTTGAATGCATAGGGCGCTAGGTTCACGTCGACCCAGGAAAACCATTTCCTTCCTATGTGGCTTCTTATCAGGAATTTAATGTTCTGCAGTATCAGGCTGTGTGCCATGGAACAGAAAAAGATTAGGCCATAAATAATTGAAGAAGCACCCAAGGAAGTATAAGAGGAAATTCTGAAAGGGAAGAAACTAAGTAGCATGTAGGCTTATTCCAATCCCTCTGAAAACTCTGGTATCAGTCGCTGTGGTTTTCAGCAAAGGGAGTTCACTTATTAATTTCTTAAAGACAATCATTGGCTTTGGACAATGAATGGAAAAAAAAAAGCAAGGTACTTATTTATCTAGCAGAGACAGTTTCTATTTATCTAAACACAAACTGTCTGAATTCCAAGCACTCATTCTCTCTGTTCCTGAGTGTTCTACAGACAATGATGTATGTGAACTGGACTCATGATAAACCCTCTTCCCATAAGCTGCTTCTTTGTTCAGGGCATTTTACCACAGTAACAGAAATACAAAGAAATACAGTGAATATATGCCACCATGGACTGCATACTTCAGAAAACAAGAAAAAAATAATAGCTTGACCATATAGTGAAAAATGTTTGGGGAGACAGATATTTGTTTAAATATTTAAATATTTAAACATGAAAAAAGTATATGGGTATTAAAACACCACATATTACCTTATTAATACAATTTAGTTTTAATTTTGCCATATCAGTCCAAAATTTAAAAATATTAATTCAGGATTTAATTAAATGAGTAATGCTTTTTTATCTTGAAAAGAAAAAAAAATGAAAGTAATGAGACATGCCTAAAAATGACATTGGAATGAATTGACTCCATGTTCTGAAGGGAATTGGTGAGTGAAAAACAATGATGTCCATGCACACTTAAGAGTAAGAAGTAAAATTGGTCAGCTACAGAAGGAAGAGAGCATGAACATGGGAAGACAACAATGATGCCAAAGGGAAACCCATGGCAGAAATAACTGAGCTTGGATCTCTACGCTATATGAAGATGTAAAACCTTTTGTAGTCTCAGCAAGTACTCTGTTGCTCATTCTTAATAAGAAATAAGGCAATACACAGCACTGAGTTTTTAAAAGTAGTTTATTGACTATGGCATGCTCTAAAATATTTATTTTAAAAAGTCAGCAATCACTGCTTCAGTTACAGCAGGTCTTATGAAAAAAAATACATTTTTCCTGAGTAAGGTTAACTATAATTATAAGATTTGCTAGATTATTTAGATTATTTAATCTCACATTATACCTAACAAGAAGTCTAGAATAAATTATTGTGTAACATTAAGGAGCCATTACTTATGAAGTTTCAATTACACAATCAATTATATGGTAAATTATACAATTGATCATAAAAATATCTGATAAATTATACAACTGATCATAAAATCATTATTATTAATTTTGGGGGGGTGAGATAGTGTTTCTCTGTGTAACTGTCCTGGTTGTCCTGGAACTCACTCTGTAGACCAGAGTAGGCCTCGAACCCACAGATACCCACCTACCTCTGCCTCCCGAGTACTGGGATTAAAGGTGTGTGCCGCCACCTCGAGTTATTAAATTTTGTAAATAGAAAATTTATAAATATTTTCTTATCCATGGCTGGCTTCTTTAAAGAATATTCATTCTAACACTTTGTACAGAATTCCCAGCAACTGTTTGGAAGTTTAGGTTGTCAACGTTCTCTTGAGGTTATTGTTGGGAAATGGGAAGGCAAATTTGTATTCTTCTCTTTATTTATTTTGATGATAAATGATGGCAAATTGCACTACCTTTTTATTGAGCACAATAAAATTTCTAAGATTCTTACCTGATGCTACACCAACTCCATCATCACAATCATAGTCAGAGACCTCACTGTCACTTACTCTCTTTGACCCTATAAAAAAATGACAACAATAATTAAACTTTATGGTTGTTCAAAAAGAAAGAAAGAAATATCTACTAAAGTTAAAAAGTGGAAGTATTATCAATGAAACACTGGAAGACAGAGGAGAAGATAGGAGAGTTATCACGTGCTCAACAACACTGCTTTCCACAGACATTTCATAAGGTCAGGGTACAGATCACAAAGAGGTAACAGTTTACACAGTTATTCTGAAATGTGTAGGACAAAATTCTTAAAAGGGTAAAAGTCTGAAATTATATTAAGTATGAAATATATAATTAAGATCTATTGAAAAATAATAGTTATCACTAGAAGTTTTGAGACAAAGGCACGTAACCTGGGTAAATTGTGACACACAGAAACAGATCCTTCTTCTAAATCTGTATGTCACTTCCTAATATGGAAATCTGAAGCCAAGTTTTATTACACACTATCACAGAGAATTTCAGAAACACAAATTGATTCCTGACATTTTGAACTTCCTTTGCTCTCATTATCTTAGCTGTTTTTTCCATTGATTAAAGAAGACAAGAAATAAAAACTAAATGCCAGTCACACTGTGCATTCTAAAAGTGGACCAGGAGCATGAATAGATTGTAGAATTTAATTACATTATAGCTTCACAAAGTAACTTTTTTTTCTTGTCTTTGAAGTAAGGTCTCACTATGCAACCTTGGCTGGCCTGGAACCTGGAACTCACCATGTAGATCAGGCAGGCTTTTTTTTATCTCATAGTGATTTGGCTGCCTCTGCCAACATCCATCTCTGGAAATATTAATGCTAATATCAATATAGCAAAAGTGACATCAAGTTGACTAAAACAGAATGTTAATGTCTAAAACTGAACACACTTTACACTTAATTGTGAAATATACCATGCACAAAAAGAAGTACTAAATTTTAAAGTTTAATTTCCACGATGTGTGTGTCTCAGGATAGACACACTATGCAACAGAATCTTTTATTAAAGTTTTTTTCCCTATCTTGGTATCACAGACATTTAATGGTGAGTAATGATGACAGTGCAGCAGCTTCTAAGACTGACTTGTTTTGTGTTTCATCACACACCACACACCTTTCATTGAGTGCTAGTTTCAGGAAATACATGCTATCCTATACAGTTTAAGAAGAATACTAGGTAGCTCTCAGAGTGAGTATAAGGGTTTCCAAAGCAGAGATATTATGATGTTGTTTTAGGAGCATCATCCAGTATGTACATACTTTTATCAGAAATATTCTGCGTTTCCCATATTTGTTTCTTATTAGTTTGAGGTCATGCCCTTTTCCTTGAGAGAAAGTGTATGATTCCAGATAGGGCAGTTCCCCTTTCCCCCTTCTACAGAAAAGGAAGATCACACCTCGATTTTGTATTAGATAATCTCATCAAATAAAATCTTCCCACAACTTATGTCAGAAAATTTCAATAAAAAGCATAGACATAAAAAAGCATAGACATTTGTTGGAAGGTAGTGATGCATACACATGCCTTTAATCCCAGCACTCAGGAGCAAGAGCAGGCAGAACAATGAGTTTCAGTCCAGCCAGGTCTACAAAATAAGTTCCAGGACTATGTGGGACTACACAAAGAAACCCTGCCTAGCATAGACATTTATATGAGAATTGCCTGACAAATTTCCAACCAACTGGGCAGAATGGGGTGTATAAAGATAGAGCATGTATTTTAAATGGATCTGGCCAGATAAAGGATTACACAGATGGGGCTATAATGGAGAAACTTAAGCAAATTGCCTGCGAATTTTAACAAAATGAATGCATCCTATCTAAAAGGACATGTCCATTAGTCTACATTTTCTCCTGCACAAGCTGTCTACCCATAAATCAATAATGTACTTTCTAAATATTGTGTCATACACTGATAATAAAATAACTCCACAGCATTAGTAATCTCACGTATCGTGTACATTTGCCTTTGCATGTAAATTTTAGAACCACTTTAATATATTTAACAAAAGCTTCTGTTGGGATTTTTCTTTTAATTGTATTGATTGAACACACTAACTTAGGAGAAATTGGCATGTCTCATAACATTGCATTGGTAATTATGAACATTACATTTGAGTTTTGTGCATTTTTGTTCTCCAATAATTTCTTCAGGATCTCTTCCCCTAGCCTGAAGCTCACCATTGGCTAGACTGGCTAATCAATGACTCTTACCTCCCTTCAACACTAGGGCTTTGTGCCAGTCTTTTATGTGAATGTTAGGAATTGAAATCAGGTCTCCTGAAAGCCTCCTCCCCAACTAATAGCTTCCATAGTGGCATGAAAACTTCAAAAGGAGGGAAGTAACCAACAGTTCTGCCCAGCTATGACACTTACAAACTACAACAATGACCAGAACAGTACCTGTGAGTGACTTGTAGGGTACACATACCTTTAGGGCAACCATCAATTCTATAATTGAACTTAAGACCCTCTGTACAAGAAGGAATTTGGGCCTGGAACTTGAAACCTGGCCAATAACATAGTCATTGTTCTTAGAGAAGAACCTACAGAAGCCAACTAACTTAACCAGCAGTCCTTAACTACATTGGAAATATCTGTCTTTGTACCCACAGATATGCAATCTTCACCCTAGAGATAGACGGGGCACTGAAAGAGACAAGGCAAACAACTTTGAGTTGCTAACCTACTACCCCTTCAAAGAAACTCCAAATCTTGCTATAAATTTCCATCCATGTTGGCCAGTTCTACATCTGACACAAGCTACAGTCAATTGGAAAATGCCCTTATTAGATTTCCCAGGGGGCAATCCTGTGGTACATTATCTTCATTAGTGATTGTGGGTAGTACCAGTGGTCAAGTGGTCCAGAGTGTTATAAGAAAACAGGTTGAGCAAGAAATTTGAAGCAAGCCAGTAAGCAGTACTTCTCCATGGCCTCTGTATAAGTTCCTGCCTCAATGGTTCCTTCCCCTCAATGCCTGCCCATACTTCCTTAGTAATTGACTGTTATGTAAAGTATAAAATAAAATAAATGCTTCCCTCCTCTGCATTGCAACAACAACAACAACAACAACAATGGATTTCTTAAAACTAGAAGCCACATGTAATGCAAACACATTGTTAGAAGACTAAAAAAATTAAGTGATAGGATTTTAAATATCGCTAAATCTTCCATGAGTAATGAAGAAGAAATGGAAATGTATTCAGAAGTGCAAAGCCAGTTTCCAGCTTCAGTGAAAGGGGTATTTAGTATTCTTCAAAAGCAAACTCTGGACTAGGGTTGCAACTCAGTAGTATAGCATATGCGAGTATGTCTGAGGCCCTGAGCTGGAGCAACAGCAGGAAGGGAAGGCAGCTGGGGCAAGAAAGAGAAGGAAGAGGGGATGGAATGCAAATGATGATGATGATGATGATGATGATGATGACGACGACGACGACAACAAAACTTCCAAAAATTCAGGCAAATGTCTTCAAACCATAAATAAAAAGAAAATAACTAATTTGGAGGGAAAACACACACACACACACACACACAGAGAGAGAGAGAGAGAGAGAGAGAGAGAGAGAGAGAGAGAGAGAGAGGCTAGATGGGTAAAAAAGGAGGGGCTACTTGGGTAAGTGAGATTGTGAGTCATTTAGTATGCTTTGCTGCAATTTCAAAACTTTTTATATGATTTGGAGAAAGCAAGTTAGACAGACAATGTGAACATGTCATCATCTGGGCCTGATGATTAGCACTTATACAGAGCACTCAAGATGCGGAGGAAGTAGGATCTTGATTTCAAGACTAGTCTGGAATTCTCTCCTTACAAAATCAAAACTACCAACACAACCATGTAAAAAGATTAAAGCTAAAAAGGCATGTGTCAAAATAGTAGTTGTTCCTATATGTCACAAAAATTGAAGAGTCTGAGTATATAAGGGCTAGACTGTCCAAAAAAAAAAAAAAAAAAAAAAAAAAATACAGATGTTGATAAGGTACATTTTTGAAAAGGTGGAAGACTTCCTATATTCAATTTAAAATTTGAGTGTATTTATATCAGCTTCAAATGTGAATAGGAACATTATTCAATTAATTTGTAGAGGACAAGAATATTTATTCCTGTTGCTTGACACTGTCATATGAATTAATGAGCTAACTGACTGAAAGATTATGTCTATGGTTATGGCTTTTACTTCAATTCTTTTTGGTTCTTTTTATTAATAACAAAATTTATTAGTACAAATTGGAATATGAAACATCAAAAATATCACTTAAAGACTAAATTATTAAAAATATTCAAGGAAATTGAAATGCTAGTCACCATGAATTGATATTACACTTATATTTATCAAACTTTCACAGTGTATCCCATAAATACATATAATTATCCTATGTCAATATAAAGGAAAGTGTTGTTTAACAGGAAAGAATTTTGCCTTTGAAAACAGTGGTAAGTTTATTGGAAAACATAACATTCTGACCAAACTAGACCCTCTGAATATGGATGACAGTTATGAGACTTGATCTGTTTGGGGGGGGACCCTTAGCAGTGGCACCAGGACCTATCCCAGGAGCATGAGCTGGCTTCTTGGAGCCCATTCCCTGTGTTGGGATACCTTGCTCAGCCTTGATATGGGGGGGGAGGAGTTTGGTACTGCCACGACTTGGTATGCCAGACTTTTTGAACTCTCCAAGGAAGGCCTTACCCTCTCAGAGGAGTGGATTGGGGTGCAGGATGGAGAGAGATGTAGGAGGGGGAAGAGAGGAGGGAGGGGGAACTGGGGCTGGTATGTAAAATGAAAACTAAAAATGTTTTAAATGAAAAATCAGCTTATACAGCTGGGAGAACAGAAAGTGGTCTTTTAGTGACATGTCAATGGGAGATAATGAAAAAGAAAATATTAGCATCTTGTCTCTTCCACTTTAGAGACAGGAAGATTAAAACCAAGAGAAATACATTTATTCGCAGTTGTCAATTTGCCAGAGTTGGAAATCATCAACAAGAATGGTCCACTTTTACCATAAAGATGTACCCTAGTCACTTTA